GGATGACTGAGAATCTACGCAGACAGTTCATTCACATTATTTACATTCTTCCTGATCACTAATCCAGACGACTGGAGTGTTTTTTTTGCTCTGGAAGCTGATTTATCAACATGAGTTGCGACACATCTCGGATAGCTGATTAGATAATGTGCATACCATATTGGCGCATGCACCCATTGCAACAGATCCCCGGCAAGAACTGCTCAACCGCATTCAGTCCCGTACTCTTTCTCCCAATTTCCTCTCTTGTCACTGTCCTATTTAATGTTAGTTAAAAAGCTTTCTACTTATCCTGTGACCCGATAATAACCACATGTCATAGAAAAGTGGCGTGTCACCAACCCAATGAGCCAAAGTCTGGAAGAAAGCGTCACATGTTTTGAACACCCACACTCAAGACAACTTGTGGTGTGATGTCTTGTTTTCGATGTACAACACAACGCGGTCGTGACTATTATAACTTAACACGAGTCGGGTAGCTGATGTGGGCGCTGTGTGGGGGAAAACCGATCTAATTAGAGCTGCCATGTAAATAGCGGTTGATGATTGCTATGGCAGCGAATTGTGTTAGAAAACCTGCTCTTCTCTGCAGCTGAAGTGCGCCAGTCGGTCGTTTTATACGGCAACAATTCCTCAGTAAAATTAAGCAAATACAACTGGAATTAGATTTTATTGTATCGGCACCTTTTAATGGACTTCAGTTGGAAATAGTCGAGCGGTATTTGCAGCCTGTGGAAAAGCTTGGGCACCGTGCAGCGTCGGTACTTAGTCACACCCTTTTGCCAGATATCACAGCTTTCAAACGCCGTTCGTAGCCAGTTAAGAATCTTTCTATCCTCGCAGATCATTTCAACTTCGGAGATATTTTTAGACGATGTTGCGCATACGCAGCATGTCAGATTTTTCTTCTTTTCTTTTTTTTTTTCCCCGCACTCTGGTCTTTACTCTCTTTGTACGTACACGAGGGTAACAAAAGCATGACATAGAAACAAGAGGGGAGAGGGTTGTGAATATCAACGCAGCTCACAGCGACTCTTGGATTTAAATTTATCGGCAATAAGATCGCACGGCACCGATGTCTTTATTTCTCCGCCTGATTTCCAACCCGTGTGCAGGTTAGAGGACTGCCAGGGCCTCTCCAAAAAGCTTCAGCTTGTGTTTCTTGAAGTAGGTCACGGTGGATTTTTGAGGGCTGCTTGGGCTCATTGTCCTCTTGTAGGAGCCAGCCTCTTTTCATTTTCTGTGTCTTGACTGACTGTGTGACATTTGCAGCCAGAAATTTGCTGATATTCGGTGGAATGTGCAGTGTTTGCCTTTCTGCCCAGCAGACGTGAGGATTTCTTGGGCGTATCGTGTTCCGGCCGTCGCAGTTTCACATGAATGCAACTTTTTAATGACAACAATGACGTATTTAAAAGTGCTTTGACATTTTTTTTTTTATCTGATGGCTGCAGAGGTTGTGTTCACTCCAATAATCTGCAAAATCTGTCCAGACGAGGTGATCAAATGTACAAACTGTGAGGCTAAGTTAGCTTAGCTTCACTGCTTTTATGGGAATTATTGTGATGCAGTATTTCTTGGACAGTAGTTGCCACACAGACACGGTGGGCACATCTGTTTTATATCAGCTGACAGCAAGAAATCAACTAAATATGTGATTTGCTCGGTGGTGCCCAAACTTAGTGTAATTTTGCAGATGTGTGTAAAACAATCCCTCACTCCTCAATCACACGAACAGTCACTTCTTCTTCTTCTGCCACTTTGCTTTCTGCGAAACTCTCAAATGCATCTCCTGAAGTGAACACATTGATCTGCTAACTGTTGATTAGAGTCCTGCTTAGTGTTCTGTCTAAGGCAGATGTGCTCGAAAGGTCAGCAGTCATGGCTGGATGTCGTACAGTATTCGTAACACACACAGTATGTTATCGCTTACAGCTGCTTAAATGATTAACAAGATCTTGGTATTTCCAGTCAGATGTGCAGTCCAGACTGCGAGTCGTCGTAAGTGTGTGTGCACACTGAGACATATTTTGTCCTTCAGGCTCAGTGCTTCAGCGCATTCCAGCTGAGTTACGTCAGTCCTGAAAGAGCCGAGTGGGAGATAAAGGCCCTTTAACACAGTGCCCGTAATTGCAAGGGTTCAAAAGTAATTGGTCACTACTAAATGTTTCCTGGGCAGCTGTGCGTTGTTTCGGAGTCGGTTCAAAAGAGCTGGCACGTGGCTCGGCGTTGAGAGTCGCCTTTTTGGAATTAGGTGGAGTTCTTATTGTCTGTCGCTGGAAGGAGTTAGGAGGTGCAAGGGAAGAGGGTGAAGCTTAAAAAAAAAGGAAAAATGTAGCTTACAAATCCCAAAAGGGGTTTGGTTTGCTCAAATCAGCAGCTGGGTGGTGCATAAAAGAAGCACTGAGGAGCACATGTCTTGGTGAAGGAAAAACCCCTGAACGGCGAGTCAAAGACGATCTCCTGGATGTGAGCAGACATGAGCCTTTGAGAGGTTTCGTGCCCATTTGGAAAAAACAAAACTAGCAGAACAAAGGTTTACGGCACAAAATCTTAAATGTATTTGCTAATTAGATTAATTTCTTTGGCTTGTTTATCTGTCATTAGATCTACGTTTAGGCCCCGAAGTGTTAAAAGAGTTTAATCTCCCACACGGTTGTTTCTATCATGACACAAACCTTCTCTAATTAAAGCTGAATGTGCTGAAGGACGGAAGCCAAAGAACAAAAACTGTCCAGATGCTCAAAGTCTGAACAAGTGTAGAAACATTACAACTCACTTCTGCTTCTTTCTGTATATGTTTGAATACATGCGGTGCTTTAAGGGAATACTTGTGTTCTGGTATGAAGTCACAATACATTAAATTATGAGAATATTTGCACAAAGCACACGAGGACACTGAAGCAGCTCTCATGTTGGTACAGTATATGAAGCCACTTATTACATAATCACGACTATTCCAGCCATCGTTTTGCATAATTGCGGTCGTTCGTATTCACCTGTATAAACAACAGCTGGATGAAACTAACAGACATGCCATATTTCTGTTTTTTCCCCACATCTTTTTCTACCGTTTACGCCCCCGTCTTCTGCTGTGATTAAACGGCACTAGCTGTTTATCTTGAGGCACTTATTAGCGGCGAAGCCAAACACCACGGTGCTGCTGTGGGTACGTTTTGGATTGAAGCCAAATGAGAGGAAATAAACTAGAGTCCAGCTAGATTTGTCAGATTTGCAGCAAAAAGGTGGCAAACAAAGGCGCTGATGCTGCAGTTTTTAAACAGAAAGATGATTAAAATGAACAGAAATGGACAATTAAATGGTTAAATTTGTTTTTTAGTAGTTGCAATTAGTGACAATTAGTCATCAACCACACTTCCACAACTGGCTGGTTTAGATTAGAAAGTCCCTACACCTGGCCTAAAAGTACATTTATTTATATTTTTTTAACAATTATTAGCACTTTTTTTTGTATGAATTAAAAAAATTAAATTGAACATTTTAACTTAGAGGAGCTGGTTGGTAGATTTTGTGCAATTTATGTGTAAATATTCTTAGATTTGTATCCTTACTATCCTTGTGTTCTCCTGTTTTTCTTATTTATATTGTACATATACAGTCGTGACTCAATAATCCGACCCTTAACAATCCTAAACCTGCTATCCGACAGGCTTTTAGGAAAAATGAACAGATCTCGCCTCTTTAACTTGTAGTTGTGTTTTCTTGCTTTTGGGATTAATAAAAGTTATTCTATTTTAGCTTTTATGTTAAACTAAGCTAATGATTTTCAGGCTGTAGCTTCACATTTACCACATAGATATGGCTTTTAGAGTTCGATGATGAAAAATCCGTTGACACAGATGTCTTCTGTTCAACGTGTAATCGAGCTTCTCAGCGACCGTCCTCGTGTCACCGTGCTCCATGCAGCACCGCGCCGAGCACACCAGGACGTGTCGGTGTTCTGCTAATATGCCGCTGATAGGATCACTCATTTTTTTTCGGTCTTCCAGAAGAGCAGCTCACCTCTCACTGCGTCAACGGATTCTGATCATATCCTCCCCATCTCATCGCAGAAGGCCTCCTCTTCCTCCTCCTCCTCCTCCTCCTCTCAGTGGTCGTCGTCTTTGGCCGTGAGCCTGGTGCGGCCTCTGAGCCGCGAGGTCAGCCAGGGCTCTTCCAAGACCGCAGAGGGAGAAGCCGGTACCAACTTCCAGGCCGTTCCCATCAGGGCCGGCCGGAGCAGCCCCAGCCTCTCGCGGCTCGGCGGCGGCCTCCCGCTTCAGGCACAGGTGGCACGCAGCGAGCTGAACGTCCGCCTGCCCAGAGGTACGTGAGGATACAGCATATGTTCAGCTCTCATGGGCTCCGTCAGGTACATTACATACACCTGCATGGATCATGTAGCGTTCATCAAGATCCAAGACCTTTATTTGTCACAAATTACACACAGTGTAACGCGCAGTAAAATGTGTTGAGCACCAGGTCCAGACCGAAACAATAAAGAATAAACTAAGAATAATATATACATGAATATATGCATAGATATAGATAGAAATAAGCAAAAAACATTAATTAAAGTGTCAAATGGTGCAAAAAAAATACATATACAAGGCGAAAAGTAAACAGGAAATCCTTGTTAAGGAGGCCACAAATGATTACAAATGTGCACATTTAAAATCAGTTTTGTTTTAGCTTGTTGTGTCCATGTCTGTTGTGGAAACGAGATTTTTTTCTAATATTAAAAATGCACAAAATTGGTTAAATATTAAAAAACATTTGTCTGGTGCCCACTTTAACCCTCCGTAGGACACTCCTTGAAATACTTGGAAAATGAAAATTTCCACCCTTGGGTGTTATTGAAGGATATTTCAAGAATTTTTTATTTTCGTGCTCGGTAAGTTCATTTAGTGACGTTGTTCTTGGGGTCGTGGTTTTAGTGGCACTGATCTCAACAAATAAATCAAAGTGGAGTTCAATGCAGACCAGTGACAAAGCATAGAAGGTTTGTTTAGTGACATTTTTGGTAAGGTAGTGATATTAGTACTAATATAAAAACTAAATCAAGGTGGTTCTTCAACCCCAAGGAGAGGCTCAGGGCGGCCATATTGAAGGAAGTTACCAAATATGGTCACTGGCCCCATAAAGGGTTAAAGGTCATCCCATCATTAAATATAGAAAATAGTAGGGCTGGGACTTAATTACGATTAATTACAACAAAAATAACGTCAGCGCCCGATTTCATAACGCACTGATCGCACTGATGCTCAACGTGCGTCCGCGCTGCGATAACAACTAACATGGAGGAGTCAAGTGAGAGCGCGTTACCTGGACCGATGGAGGGTAAGTTTCATTTTAAAAAACTGACTGATGGAAGCCTTGACAAGAGCGTGGTTTTGCGCAACTTGTGCAAAAAAAAGAAGTTGCAAGCACATCAAGCTGACGGTACCACCTGAATGCAAAGCATGGAGCTGTTAGCGCTGTTAGCGGTCCACAGGGCTGCGCTAGGAAGCAGGTTTGACATAGCCAGGCTTTGTTTGTGTAAGCCGGATCGACAAAACCGAAAGCCCCAGCCCCACCATCGGCAGCGGTGGTGGCGACAGAACCGTGACCGCCAACCTGAACTGGCATCAGCAGCCAAGTCCTGCCCGTGTGGAGTGCTCCGTCTACGATACAATATTGTAACTACACAGCTTCATTCAGTGATACTAGTAACGCACAGATCAGCATGTTAGCAGATAAAACACATTCCCTCAGCTGAGACTCTGTATGGCTCATAAATAACACTGGGTTACAAAAAGATGTTTTTTGAAGGTGTCTTGGATTTGTTTTAACAGACATTTATGCAACGCTGAATCCAAAAATGACATCTGCTTTTCTGGATCAGGTCAGGTTTTTATGCCAACTTGATTTTGCCATTAAATCGATTACATTTTTTGTCAGTAGCGATTCATTTATTTTAGGTATTTCTCATATGAAATCAGATTTTAGAGGAAAAATGTTATTTTCTAATCCTTTTCATATACTAAATGATTCAAAAGTTGTAAACATTTGTGAAGGTAAATACAAGTAAATTGCATGTTTCATCTGCTCAAAATTCAGGGCTTGGCCTTCTGGGAACTCCTGGAATGATCAGCAGCAGATATATCTCTCTATATATATCTCTCTTCAGAGTCCAGCAGTGATCAGCCATCATGACTGCATCCCAGCGTCCCTGATACTTGGTCTCCATCTCCGTCTGATAAAATCACGTGACTCTGTGTTGTTCAGCAACCAGGGGGTGAACTTTCTATCTAAATTTAATTCACCTGCAAATATTTATGGGCTCAACTTGTAAAGGTTTCAGAAAGTGCATGTGGCAATAAATCAAAATTTTGACCTCATTGAGCAAAACCAATGTAATATTTGGATTCAGCACATTGCAATTGTCCAAAATCAGCTCAAAAAACTTTGAGACCAAAATGGGTGTAGACCAGTGTCATAGTCAGGAAACCATCTGGTTAAAGGGAGACGCTCTTTCAGCCGATTTAAATCCGTAACTCTGCACATAACCTGCTCCCGACCAGGTTAGCTCCACAACATCAGTTACAACGGAGATCTCGCGCCACAGCATCAGTTACCATGGAGATCTAGCGCCACAGCATCAGTCACCATGGAGATCTAGCTCCACAGCATCAGTCACCATGGAGATCTAGCTCCACAGCATCAGTCACCATGGAGATCTAGCTCCACAGCATCAGTTACTATGGAGATGTAGCCAGGTAAAAAGACAGCCACCTTTGTGATACTGAAAACTCCGGCTTTGAGCTCAACATACCTCGCTAGCCCACTAATCTCGCTTCGTAGTCCAGCCCTCTGGTCGGAGTACGAGCGTTTAACATTTTACGTGGTACAAATGGTGCTTTAAGTTAAATTGTTGGTTGACATTTGTTTACCATTTAAAACCAGTACTGCTCGGTTGTAAAATAAATACTGATTTGTTGTTTAAATAGACGCATGTGTCTATCATGTGATTCAGTAACGCACCAAAATCCATTTAAATTGAAAATGTGTGCTTCTTGCAGCAAATATTGTTATGCGATTGAAATGCAATTAATTGAGATTAATTAGCCTCTAATTTTTTTAATTGAGTCCCGCCCCTAGAAAATAGTCAGCCAACCAAAGTATAACTCAGCTCACTAATACGGGTTGCCTTTACACTTGCTAAATAAATTCATGTCCCACTAATGAAGTGCTTTTGAGAACATTTTATATGGCCGGCAACACCAGCAAGTTGTAATTTTTAATTTGCGCCACATTTTTTGCTTTATGACTAAAATAACCGCAGGACCAGCGGCTATCAAATTAGCCTCATTTGTTCTTAGTGCTAATTAGCAAATGTTAGCATGCTCAGAGGCTAAACTTAGATGGTGAATATGTTCAACGACTGGGTGAAACCTTTATGGGAAAACTAATTTACAAAAACAGCAACTAGTCAAGATGTTTTTGTGAATAAACAACCCGACCTCAGAGCCCAAAGCTGATGGACTCCGGCGTTATTAGTGATGAATGAGGTAAACATGCAGAAATAATGGCTTCAGATAAGTTAATTTGTTGTGTTATAGTCACTTTTTCAGCTGCCTTTTCATCTTCACTAGGAGAAAACATTTAAGAGAAACCGACAGCTTTCAAGGTGGAACGCCGTGTCGCGTGTTCCTCGACATCGCGAATCAATCGGTGCATCTTAAACGTCGATACTCTGAACATTTGGTTCTATCGACCATCTTGCTTGACATGCGCTTTAGTGATGATTGGATCTTCGAGTGCCGAAAAACGTTGATGAATTTCAGCCGGATAACTGTGAACGTTTTATGTCCTTTTGTTTGGCTAACAAGACCAGGCTCCTGTCTGGATAAATGACGAAAGAGCCACAAGTGTCATTTCAGTGACAAGACATAAAAGCTGCATGTATAGAACCACCAGACAAATCTAACAGAAGAATCCGCTGCAAAATAGAGAGCCACAGGTTCTGCTTCGTGACACCACGCCAGCAGCACGATTGGCTGGACGTTTTCTAGTTGTTCAGGGCAAGAGGCAGGACATGTGTCATACAAGCACCATCTTCAGCGCTGAAGCATCTCCCTATAGATTTCCCGACAGGCTCCTTTAAGTGGAGGGTCTCCCTCATAACATGTCTGCTTTAAATCAAGGCAGTCACACTATAGCAGGCTGGGCGAACCGCATACATGTCTGCAATGTTAAACAAAAAACAAAAAGCGTGATGTTGCATCATCAGGGGAAATAAATGAAATGCCGCCGCCGCCGCTGCACCAGTCACACGTTTGTCTTTTATCTCTTCGACATTGAGTTTAATTTGTGTTTATTTTTTTCATATCTTTAAAAAAAAGAAAAAAAAGAAAGTATTGATATTTGCACAAAATTAACCTTGAAAGCTCAACATTAATGCATCTGCTGAGAGGAAAAGCTCCAGCTTATCAGCTCTGGGTGCCTGAATCGCCTCCACTGACTGATGCTCTGACATATTAAGTGTTTCGGTGCAGCTCAACCCTCCTCCTCCTCCTCCTCCTCTTCTTCCTCTTCCTCGCTCAGGTTTCGAGCGTCGGCCCTTGAAGCACCCGTCTTGTCCAGATGGAGCGGAGAGGGACAGCGGTCCTCCTAAACCCCCGCGCACAGGCACCGTCCCCGCCCTGGTGCCCAAACCTCCCTCCTACCCGCTGGTCAAGCTGGTGGGCAAGTTCTACACCTTGAAGTGCCGGTGAGTGTTGCTGTGGCGTCTTGCTTTGGAACATTTGTGGAGACTGTGGCATTAATAGAACAGTCTGGCTAAGTTTTTAAAATAGTCCCTTAATCCCCGAGCAGCAATCCCCCTACCTCCACCCCCCGCCGAGCCGTACTCCACTTTTAGTCGCTAATGCACTATATTGAGAATCGCGAAACCATTTGGGATTTTCGGGCAACATGAATGAGCGCTTAAGGTCTGATAAAATAAAATAAAAATAAAAAAACCTGCAGTACAGAAGTTTTGACAGAATCAGCTCGTCCCGAGGGAAACAATCGCAGCATCAAGACTGCATTTTATGTCTTTTTGTGTGGAAAAACTTTCCGCAGTCGAAGCTGCAGTAATTTTTGCTGATTACCGGCAGCATTATGTGGCCTAATTTCCAGCTTAAGGAGACACTACAGGTGAATAAGGCAATCAGCTCACTTCCTCGGCTGATTGCTTAAAAAATACAATAACGCTATCGTCTTTTGTGTCACATATTTTCTGAAATGTGTGTGTGTGCGTTACGTTGGATATCACCTTCTATCGCTGCATAAATAACAAAATGCGTCAGCAGGATGAAAAAAATAGTCCAGTTCCAGCATGTTTTTAGGAATTCAATGTTCTATAAATCAGGCTATCAATTATAAATGTCACATCCTCCTCTGTAGAAGTCTTTAGAGCAGAGATGGGAATAAAAATGGAAAGTTTGTTGTGTGTAGAAGTGGAGATTTGAAGTTTAGAGGAGAAGAAAAAACTAATTTTGAGAAAACAGCCTTTAAATATATATAGTTTGATGAGGTTTTACTAAAAAAAACAAAGATTAAAAACCAGCATTTACAGGTGCAGTTTTTAACAAATAGGTATCACTGTGGAATTTAGCCAACTGATTACTTACTTATAGAATTTTTTGTTTGTTTTTTCCTGAAATTTTAATAAGATTCTGCATTAAATATGTGTCAATTTGCATAAATGTCATTTAAATCAGTAAAGTGTAGGAAAATAAACACCTTAATGTGTATTTTTGAGGCTTTCTTTTCCCAATCCAGTGAGAAAGTCTGCAAATTAATTCATTAGTGTATGAAATAAGAAGGGCTGCAAGGTGGAGCGGTGGTTAGCATCGTTGCCTCACAGCCAGAAGGTCGTTGGTTCGCGTCCCGGTGAGGACACCCAGGATCTTTTTGCATGAAGCGTGGGTTCTCTCCAGGCTCTCCGGCTTCCTCCCACAGTCCACAAACATGCTGAAGTTAATTGGTGATTGTAAATTGTCCGTAGGTGTGAATGTGAGTGTGCTTGGTTGTCTGTCTCTAAGTGTAGCCCTGTGATAGACTGGTTACCTGTCCAGGTGAACCTGCCTTCACCCTGAGTCAGCTGGGATAGACTCCAGCCCCCCATGACCCTGGTGAGGATTAGGCGGTGTATAGATAATGGATGGATGAAATGTGTTTTTCCATCAGGTTCTGTGAGGTGGAGTTCCACGGGCCGCTGTCGGTGCAGGAGGACTGGATCAGACACCTCCAGCAGCACATTCTCAAGATGAACTACAACAAGCCCGCTGCTCCCAAAGCAGGCGCCGCCGACCCCCCCGCTGTGGCCGACGACCCGGCCGTGGTCCAGGCCTCCGCCCCGGCCTCCACCTCTACCTCCAGAACCACCCCGACCCGCACTACAGGTCCCAAGAGCCGCTCCCCGACGCACCAGGCCGAGTGCGCTCCCGCCGTCACTGCCACAGAGATAGTACAGGTCTCGGAGGAGCAGCCCGCCCTGACTCCGACTCCTATCCCCCTCCCCACCCAGACGACGTAAGCTCGTGGCCCGCGGTCGCTACGCCCACTTTTTGTGTTGTTTTTTTCTTTTTTCTTTTCCTCCTTCCAGTTTCTATTCATCCACCTGTTTCTTTCCTTTGGCCTTCACAAAGTGTTGTTCAGGAGGAGCGTTCTCCCTCCAAAGAGCCCTCTGAGCCCAAGCACCTTTGAAGCAGCTTTCTAGACTGTTACTAAGTCCCGTTACCATGGGAACGAAGCTCTCCTGGCTTATCTGCGCTCCGGGGATGAGTGATTATGGGAGGTTATGAGGAGAGATGAACTAATGTTTTGTGTTTGCCTTGTTTTTATTGAATGTCCAGGTGTTAACGTGGACCATTACTGTACCTCTCCCAGCTATTGGGTGATTTAGGGGTCGTCGTAGCCCTTTATCAAACTTTTAACCCCACGTCTACTACAGCTGTTCCCCCCCCTCCTTTATGAACATTACTTAGACCTGAGAGATGTTGACCTTTTCTACCAGCACGCTGGTAGCCCAGGATCCGGCCCGTTAAGGGTCCTGACTGAGATTAAACGACGTTTCTAATCATCTAGTCTTGTGGTTGAGACTTTAAACATGTAACACTTAGTGTTAAAAAAACAAACAAAAAAAACAAAAAACGGCACTTTTAATGTTGACATTGTCACTCAGCACTTATTGAAACACCCGTTTGAACGGGTTAATGTGGACTGACTAATTCTGATTGGTTCAAGGAGCAAGAAGTGGAAGCACAGACAAAAAGGGAACTCCCCCCTCTAGGTAACTTTATGATGTAATGCTGTCCCCTACGTATACATTTTTTGCTTGAATGTAGCTTAAAGCACCTAATAATACCTTATATGCACACATTCACACACAATCAAACGTATGCCCCTTCCTGCGATGCCATTGGACGTGATGCTTCTGCTCCAGCTGCCGTCGTGTCGGCGGCGGTCGAGGCTTCACGTCTCTCCGTTCACAGTGTTGCCATTTTCTTCCTGCCTTTTTTTTTTTTCTCTCTCTCTTCGATGTAACCCAAATTTATTTATTTATTATTTTTGCATCTGAATGTGGTAAGCTAGGTCATTTAAAAGCTAACGTATAACTTAGGAATGTTTGAAAATAGGTGCGCTTGTTCAAAGGCGCACGACGTGAGTGTGGGTGTTAGTTTGTATGTTTGTGTACATACATAGCGAAAAACGTGCATTTGTTTTTTGTTTTTTTTTCCCCATTTTGAGAGAGAAAGACGGAAGTAAACGCGCTTGACGGGAAGACGCCTCCTTAGCTCGAACTGGACTGAACGCGGGAGCTGACCCGTCCGTCTGCCGTAGTCTGATCAGGACGTATATGCATCCATCGTCGTGTTAGGATGTGCCAAAGAGTCTGTTTACTTCCTGGTCTTGCCTCTGTAAGAGCTGTTTACATTGGACCTGATGGTGGAGGAAACTCTGCACAGCTACCGAGTTCCCCGAGGCCCCCTCTCCTCCCCAGAACAATGGACTTGAACCGGCGGTGATCTGCATCCACTACACGCACCGTTGAGTTCCTCCCCTCTCCAGTTTTAAAGACTCGGGCTACCGGAGCGGCTTCATGGGACTCACGTTGTTACTGTAGGGTTAGATTATTCCAATTAAACACGAACACAAACCAAACTTGATTTCAAGCAGGGCTCCTGAGAGAACTGTCGGCCCTCAGTCCAAATACAGAAACACGTCTGACCTCGGCCTCCCGAGGCTGAAGTCTGCCGGCTGTGGTTCTTTTTACGTCGCTTCGGTGTGTTCGTATCAACCGAGAGCTGAAGCATCACCTAAAGGGTCCATGTAGTTCTGGCAACCTTTTGAAGTTTGTTCCAGTGTTGGCCATGTTTGAAACATGACTGTTCGATCCAAACCCCGACCCTTTTATGGAGTATAGATACATACTATATAACTACATGTACTTAAGAAGCTGTTGATGCTAGTAGAGCCGTCAGCAGTTCTATTAGCAAGGTAGTTGAAAAAGAAGTGATCTTAATTCCTCTATCGTGATTTTTGATTTCGACATTTGATGCTATGTATTTTTTATTGCTCTGTGCATTTCTGTATTTGCAGTCCCGCAAGGTGAATCTTAGAGTATTTTTTATTTTATCTGTTAGTCTCTCCAAGCTGAAACTTTTTGGTGCTGGCGAGAATGTTGCTGGTCGGTGAACTGAACGCGAGGATAACATTTTAATGTGATTGTCACGTCCTGGTATCAAAGGACTCTAATAGGCAGGCCTTTAAAGGGGACCGCGTTTGCAAGGTGAGACGCCAGCCTCCCTCTCTGCAGCCACAGAGTAACAAAGACGCCGTCGGAGGCCTCTCGGAGGTCTGTGGCTGCGTTGCCGCGCGAGACGTGAATCGGAGCGCCGGTGCATCGGAGCTCCCCTTTAGGATCACCTGACTCAAGCCTCAGCTGGTGTAACCGGCTGTTTTCGTGTGGATGCGAGCGTGCGTGAGTGTGCGAGTGTGTTAAAAAGACGGTGAGACGACAATGAAAACTAAGAAGAAAAAGACGCAGTTGAAGAAAGAACCGTACTGTACACAAAGGGTTAAGTTTTAAGTGAATCAACTCCAGAACAAACAATAAATGTGATTTCAAATTTCACACGTTGGATTATTGTCGTTATTGGAGCACTGCAGCAGATTTCCCACATGGAAGTTGTGACTGCTTTCCACCACTAGGGGGAGCTGCAATGCAAGCTTCAGTTATCTTGTTAATTTGAAACAGATCCGACACGCACGCGAGCTCGGAGACGGCTGTGAAAAAGTTGGTGAGGACCCTAATTAACTGCGATGTGGAAATTGGCTTAACCGCAGAGCGTGTAAACAACACAATACAGTTAATTTGGGACAGTTCTCGAGAACAAAACATCACCAGCGTGGCTTTAAAAGACAGTAAAAGAGTTTTTCAAATTTCATTCATTCCCTTGGAAACAAAAGTGGACAAAACAGTCTCACCACAGGCTTTGTTTAATTGCTGCTGTGGAGCTTTTGATCATGTTACAGCTTATGGACAGGAAATGTAATAAAGTGCTCAGGAAAAAAGAAATCTAGATCGTTTACTTATTCAGAGACATTTTTTTGTAGAAGCTCGAGAGGGAGGATCACTTACAATGTAAAAGCTACTATCTGTGGTTAGTATTTGTCTTTTAGTTGCATCTATGGAGTCTGTGTATTGGCTGTAACTGCTATTGCAGCAGTTTTCTTTAGTTCTAACACTGAAGTTTCAGTGTTAGTTTCTATATAAATGTGAGTTTTCCTGAAGCTCCAGTCATCATTATCTTGTCAACAGCGTCTGGCTCCTGCTAACTCCTCCTGTTTAGCAAAACATGAGTAAAGAGATGGAGGTTGAGCAGAGCTGAAGCAGATCTTTTAAACTGTCTGATGATGGCACTCACTAGTCACTCAAAGCTGCCACAGCCTTAATGATGCATAACTTTACGTCCTAATACAATTTAAATTTGTGGGCTATATAAAAACTTCCCCCCCTGTACGGTTGTCATAAATGGGAAAAGTAGCTCTAGAGACCAAAGCTGCTTTATGTAGCAGACTGTAAACATGTTTATTTTTGCTTTAAAGTTGGACGTTTTAACATTGGGCTCTATGGGAGTGACTCTTTTTTGGGAACAGCCTCAAGAGGCCATTTGAGGAACTGCAGTTTTTGGGGTCCTCATCTGCCGCTTGGTTTCCACAACAAATGAAAAATGCTGTATGTGTGTCAATCAAGTCCAAGTCAACTTTATTGTCAGTTCTGTGTGGGACATAGACGGGATTTAATGCTGTTTCTTTCAGTTTTACTTTCTTTATTTGGACGGGACAGGGCATATTTATGAACGTATAATCTCAATAGTTCACACAAGGTTGCAGTAAATACGCCGAGTTTAGCACAAGGCTGATTTCCATCTGTTGTCCCACACATAAGAAAAATATACAAGGATACAGACGTATGAAATAATAATAAAAAACAAACAACAGTGTAGTAAAACAAAAATAATGATGCTAAATTCATTCTGACTGGGCTGAACCTACCCTAAAGTGCTATTATTTAATTGAAGTGCTTTCTAGGCTGTCACAAAGTGCATATTGTTGATTTTCTCAATGTTCCCATGTTTGATAGTTAATCAGCCATGTCTTATAGTGTCTCTTTCAGTGCTTTCTCTGATAGCTACAGGTCAAATATTCCAGTTTGTGCAACCTTTAGTAGATAATACATTCTGTGCAAAGGAGGACTTTCTACATTTTACCTCACAGTCACCCCTGGTGGTTTCTGTTGGACCCCAGTGCAAACATGACACAGTAGAAAAACAAAAAAGACACTGCAGTGGATCGTGCAATAGTGTCGTGAATTACTGCCTGGCTGATGTGCAAGTAGATATTTATAGATGTAAAAAGAAAAAAAAAAGCAGTGCAATATGTCATAATCGGTGCAAAATATTGTGACAGGTGCAAAGTATGCAGTGATATAACAGTCCAGTTTGATTGTTTTCATAACCAGCAGATTTGTTGGCTGTAAACAGGGACAGTGTCATGTGCTGTGGTTTTGAAACCAGTTTGGCTCCACTGCAGTTCAGGTTGTTTGGGAGGAGGTTATAGTCCAAAGTGTCTGTGAAGACTCTCAGTCCTCCAGGTCATGGTTATTCTCGTAGATTAATCGTAGCAACTGGACTTGCTTGAGTTCCGTGAAGACGTTTCATCCAAGAGGCTTCATCAGTTCTGACTGACTAGTTGGGAGTTCCCCCTTAAGGAGCCATTAACACCTGTTTCAATTGGGGGTTTGTTGCTCCTCCCGCTCGTTATGTGAGTCGTTAGTGCTCCCCCTGCCACAATGGGGTTCGTTAGGGTCTTCTGTGACTAGGTGTGGTTTCATCTTCCTTGGTAGAGATCTTAGGACTGAGTTGGGAACAGGTGAGAGGTGATGCCTCAGACCTCCACCTCTGTTGAGGGAGGTTATAATCCAAGTTGTTTGGAGGTGAAGTCGAGAGTTCAGCTTCCTGGCCGCCTGGTGGAGAAAATTGCTTGATATCACCAAAATTATTTAAAGCTGCTATAATCAAAATCTTTATATTAGCAATAGATGAACAGTCAGGGTGCAGCGTTAAAGGGGTAGTGAAGAAACCACAGATCATTATCGCTTCACGCTGCAGCTCGATGGAGCATTTCAGCGTGTTGTAGCTCATTGATCATACTCACGTGACGTCACACTCAGGATGGGAAATGCTGTTAGAAAAAGTCCTGCTGAATTCCAGGTTGCATACGCCTAGGAAATCAGAAAAATTGTTATCCTTTAATCGCATCCCAAATTGTCAAGCAGTGGAAAAGAAAATGAGAACCTAGTGACGCCATGTTTCAAGGTATAACAACATATTTAAAACCCATGTTGTTCCCATTCAACCACTTCTGAGCTGAATGTGAAGTAAAACATTCTGATATACGTGTCAACTTGTACAGGAAGTCCCTAAATTACACAGAATTTCTCCAGTTTAAATTACATATAAAACTGTACGCAACCTACAACACTTTTTACTGACTTTTAAAATGAAAGGTCGAGTACATTTGATTGCACAGATTTTTCCATTTGCTGATGCAGTCGGGCATCTACAGAGGTTGTCACGTTTGCCCCGGACATAATCAATCGATCTCGCACTATATTGTTAAATGTCTTGCTGTCTTTCCACCCGACCTCAGAAATGTTCTGCTTACATCAGTGGAGTCGTGTCGCATGACGCTTACGGGAACACACGTTGTTATGTAATGCTCTCACAGATTACATCCCGTATAAAAGTCATTGTTTTGTGTGACATGAAGAGGCGGCGGGACGTAACAACGATTTGTCAGATTCCCTGCGTTTATATGACTCGCAACTCGGAGCACAACTTTAATAACAGCATCTCCCTCTGAATCGCCCGACATCATCCCAGCAGCTCACTGCGTCATCCCTGAAGATTCATCATCATCATCTTCATCTTCGTCGCCTGAACCTCCGACCACATGCTGTCCAGGATCCACGTCGGCCTGCCGGAGCAAAGACCTGCTGCTGGACGGCTGCACAACTGCAACACAAACGTTCAATTAAACACTCAAAATGCGCAATGATGACGACCTTCTAGAAACTTTTGGAATTCAGATGCAGCCTGATCCTGGAACAGGAAGCTCCAGAGTGGAAGGAATTAAAATGCTAACAACTTAGCATTCATTTAGCCACCAGAGTATGATACTGCCACCGCCGTGCTTGACGGTGGATTTGGTGGAATCATGTTTACGGTCATGAACAAAAGTTTACATACTCGTGAAACACTCTGGATTTACCAGTCCATCAACGTCCCAACCCTCACCTACTGTATGGTCACGAGCTTTGGGTCGTGACTGAAAGAACGAGATCGCGGATACAAGCGGCTGAAATGAGCTTCCTCCACAGGGTGGCTGGGCTCAGCCTTAGAGACAGGGTGAGGAGCTCGGACATCCAGAGGGAGCTCGGAGTCGAGCCGCTGCTCCTGCACATCGAAAGGAGCCAGTTGAGGTGGTATGGACATCTGATTCAGATGCCTCCGGGGAGGATTCCTCTGGAGGTCTTCTGAACACGTCCACCTGGGAGGAGACCCCGGGACAGACCCAGAACCCGATGGAGAGGATCTCTCAGCTGGCCTGGGAACGCCTCGGGATCCCCCAGGAAGATCTGGAAAGCATTGCTGGGGGGAGGGAAGTCTGGAATGACCTGGTCCACATACTGCCCCCGCGACCTGACGCCCGATAAGCAGAAGAGGATGGATGGATGGATGGATGGATGGATGGATGTAACACTTGTACAACTGATGAAATGAAAAAGCACATGAATCTCAAACACTGTCATGAATTCTGCTCTATTTTACTTTTGCAAACCTTTGACACTTTGATGTAACATCCACTCCAGGGTTTGTAAATCTTTAAACAGGTTAAGTGTATAGGCCTTTACTATGTACGCATTCATCAGATGTGGAGCAAGACTATTGTTGATTTGAAATGTGGTGATTGTGACCACCTGTGTGACATTCTCTGTTTTTGTAGCCCAATTTTTGAGCTTCACTGTGTGAGAAAACAAGACAAGCTGTGTTATCTTCACAAGCCAGCTGCTAACTTTGTCTGTCTGTGGTTTGATGCTGGAGAGGTGGCGTGTAGTCGGTTTAAAGAGCCGAAAAGTGAAAACAGTTTCCTGCTGCGGCTTGAATAAGACTATGAGAGCAGTGAGAGTGAGCACAAGGATGGATCAAAGACTAAAAATGCAAGTTTGAAGATGCTGTAAAGCCTGTAGAGTTCCAAGTGTGGAGTCTGTCCTGCCGGGGTTGGTCAATCGGAGCAACCTCTTTCACATGTGAGCAAACGTGACTCACAATTAGCATAAAAATATTGACTGTAGCTCCTTAGAGTTCAGGCTTAATGTGCAGAACATTTGCTCGATAAGCTCAGGAAGGAGGTTAATGACCCGAAGCCCAGGATGTCACTTCAGAGATCGATTCTTATTAAGCCGACTCCCGTCTTAGAGTAAAAGCAATCACTCTGATCAATGATGAGGTTAACGAGAGTTCTCCAAAACTGGCTCCGCCGCCCTTTGACGACATCAGCTGTCAACTC